GACTATGGAAACACGTATTTAGTGACAATAATATTACTACCTAACAACGGTTCAACTTATAGACAATAAGGAACATAGAAATTGCATAGAAACTCCAAGTATACTTATCTACGCTAATATTATAAAGAAGACAGTATTGATTGTATATTTGTATGCAACGAATAGGCTTCAAAACAACTGCTCCAATTTCAAATATTACCTACGGGAAGCTAAATCATATGCGGTGAAAATATGCTATATTGTATCCCGAAAAAATAAGGGATTTAGAAATTTGAATGGAATTTTTTATAGAGATTTAAAGGTTTCCATTATAACCATTGTTTGTTTTTTTTTAAATTTGTCATTGTAATTATATTCGTGTAATTATGAATCGATATCCAATAAATACTTCTTCAAAATACAATCTTATCATAGATGAATCGGAGAGAATGAAGAATTGAGAATTTACACTTAATTTCATTATATCTAATGTTACAACACTACTTGTATAATAAAAACAAGGATAAATAAATAAAACAAATGTACTAAAGTAATTTAACGATTATCCTATCTAGTTTACCTTGTAATTCATTTTGACCTGGATATGGACGTCATTAAACTTTTTTTGCATAATAAGGACACAAAGAATTATGATCATGGGACATCCCCTGTCTCTTATGCAATAGATGAATCATTTTTCAGACGATTAGCTATGTCGATGCCGGTTAGAAGGAGTAGTAGTCGCAATTTGAGTCTACCACGAACAAAATATCTTCTGTAACCCACTTTGAAATGAAATATGTCAATTGGAAATTTTTATAATAGGGAATTTTGTACTATTTCTTGCTCTCACTAACTTCTTACTTAAAATCAAACGGTGGCTAAATATTTTATTTTTATTTAAAGGTTTACACCGAAATACTTTTCATATCCTAATGAAGTAATTAAGTTCGTGACAGATCTAGTAACAAGTAACTTTAATGGGTTGAAAGGGTCTGAACCCAAACTCCACGGGTCTATTAAAGTAATTGAATTTCTTTCAAGCCTAGATTACTTATTACGAAGGTTTATTTCAAGTAGATGCCGACGGATTTTCATTTGTTACGCAATTTAAAATATTAAATTTATAAATTGATTTCTCATCATCGTATCTCCGAGACTACTGCGCTATATTCTACTGCGTTATACTCTACTGCACTATACTCTACTGCGCTATACTCTACTGCGCTATACTCTGCTGCATAATACTTTTCTGCGCTATACTCTATTGCGCTATACTTTACTGCGCTATACTCTACTGCGCTATACTCTACTGCGCTATACTCTACTCCGCCCTTGTGTTAATGTTTTTTTTTTTACTTTTGCGTCATTAAAAGGTCGTGTAAAGCTAAAATATTAAAACGAACTTTCAATTGGTTTTATACGAATAAATAACGCCCAAGTGAGCTATAATTAAAAATAATAAATCAACATCATATATGTACTGTAAAGGCCAAAAATTTATTTTTTATAATTCTCTCAGTGGAAAAGGAGTACAAAGTTACTTCTAAAATTCACCGTCTTTTTTTCATTTTAGCGTCACTCTTTTTATAAAGGGAAAATTGACGAATATGTGCGTCATTTAACAGCAGAGGAAAAGAGGAAAGACTTACGGAGATTTTGCACAGTGTTCCTTTGCGAACAATGAATTAAAAATAATTTTAAGCCGCTCAATTCGTCAGCCTCTGTCTTTCTCTAATTGTCAATTACATGAGATATATATGGACAACCTCAACCACAGTACGCGAATTAGAGTCGCAACTAACTCTAATTATATTTTGTACTATTGAGCGACTTTGCCCGCGAATTTAGCGCAGATAGAAATAATTAATAGTCTATCACCCGCCTATTACTACATTACAGAGTGATTTAAGAGGAAGATTAATATGCGAAAGTATCATTTAAATGCGTAATTTAATATACAGAGGGCTTCGGTGGTGACAAACCGATCTAACTAGGTGTTATTTACAAAAAAAAAGCAAAGCTCAGTCATCCAAGTTAGGTTATTATATTTACTTAGGTTAGGTTATTATATAATGTTGAGGAGCTCGACGACGCAGTGGTTAGCGCATCAAAGACCGAATGGTATGTGATACGATTGTGAAGCAACTTTCACAAGCGCCAACAATTGGATGGGTGACCAAAAAAATCTTATTACGAGCTTCTACGTTCTTTGTTGTGACGTCATTGGTCTCGATTGCATCTGCAGTCGTTAATACCCGCTATTCCACACCGAGCCCGCGTGGTAGGTCATGGCCCTTTCTCCCTACGCGATTCAAATAGATTTCATCCATTGGTAAAGCTTGTGCACCAGAAGTGGGAACATAAATTGACTGAAGATGATCATTTACCGTCAATGGTAATCTATCGACTGAAAATACATTATTGGGAACAGATGAAACAAGAATAGAACTCACTAATGAGTTAATATTGGAATAATGGTATCCGCCTGTTAATTGTTAACTGTTCATACTTAACAGAGAGACACGAAAGTTTACGGGATGTACAGTACAACTAGTTTTCGAGTTAATGGGTCATGTCTAATTGTAACGTAGCTTGACGTTCAATAGATGCAATAGTTAATTATTATAAAGAACTAATATGGTTACACCGATAAAAGAGTGTAATTTTTCCAATGATAAAAAAAACTGTTTAGGTACCGTTGGTCATAAAATTTTGTAATTTGAATACCGCGCATATGGACTCATGTTCAAAGAACAAAAAGTATTTTTTTAAAGTCAAATTAATTAGAGCAAAAATAATTTGTTTGCTTTGAAATGCCACCCCCAAATACGATAACCAACGTGACACTCAGACCCGAGATATAGAAAAGTCAATTTTCTACATTGACTTGAATCGAATATCTCAAGGATGGCAACACCTTGAATCCGGCGCGCGACTGGACTAATAAGTTGTTTTTAAGAATGTAATTAGTAGGTTTAATAAATGCAATATGAAAATGAATGTAATTGACAATTAAATCTCTTAGAGAAAAGACATTTCCAGCAACCGCTGATAACTATATAAAATAGGTTTTTTTATTTATTAGACTGTTACGACAATGAGTACACTAAAGCTGCACTTAAATTCCATCATTACCAGGTTGATATTCCAAGTGTCCCATTCCTTATAGGAGAGCACCGCTTGCATTGATAAATAATAATTACACACTGCACTCACATATAGGCGTCCAAGGCAAGCCATAGCAGTACGTTTACAGCACGGTCTCTGGGTTCGAGAGACTAGCGCGGGCGCCACAACTGTATGACCAAAACGTGCATATGTGATAATGCGTTTATACTGGCTAAGGTCTTAACTTTATTGAGGCATACTGGTGAGAGGAGCTTGATAGTGCAGTGGTTACCGTGTTGGATCTGCAATGCTGAAGATAAAAAGCTTTCGCAGGGTCCGCTCATATTTAATTTAATTTATTCCGTAGAACAATATTCATTGCATCGGAAATTATAATATATGTTTAATAAAACTCAACCACAATAAAACATACAACAATTAGATCTAATTAGAAAACGATACAGAGTCAAATAAAATTCCACGTGCAGAATTACAAATTTATCACTGTCAAGGTTGCTTAACTTATGTCAAAATAATTATAGGTAAACGATAATGTCAAGTAATTTATTTTTGTCATTCAAGTACTCGTCGATTGAACAGTAGCACTTCTCCAATAAAAATGACATAAGTTTAAGTTTAGCATAGCATAGATCAAAAATATGCATCGGAAAGCAATTTTTGCCGTTAATCCAGGCATCTATAGTACTTGTAACGGCGTGGTAGGTCACGGACCATTCTCCCTATTCAAATCCATCCATAAGAAAGGAAAATGACAGCTGAGAATAAATCTTTTTAGTACTTAATTTTAAGTTCGCATATAAAATTGACGGGATTTTCAAATGGTTCTAAATAAATTTATTTATATATTCCTCCAGCAGACTCTCATAAAAATATAGCTATGAACATTTCAACAAAATAAGCACTGAAGCAACGAATAACATGTAATATAACTAAATTACAGTATCACTTGTCATGAATACCAATGACATACGTATTTTTACAAAGGCTGTAAGCAATGACAATATGTATAATGTTTTTTTCTATTTGAATGTTATTGAAACTCTAACCTCAAAATTTGCTTTATCTAATGCAATAAGGAAAACTCGGTCGTAATGAAAGAACACACCGCATTTTGTTATTGTGATAAGTGCAACATTGAACGAGTTATGAGCTACATGTAATATAATAACAAATTATGACTATTCAAAGAGAAAACGCTCTCTGACTTCTGGGCACCCTGTTTGGCAATGATTTGGGATATGTTATTTATCTACATATGTATTATATTATTTACTAACATATTGAAGGAGTCTTATTGATATTTATTGTATACTAGCTGACCCGACAGACTTCGTCCTGTCAAAAAGCCTACATTGCTTAGACAACAGTGAGTGCTTGTAATTTAATATGAACTTTATACCATAGCAATAAAGCTCAAATTGACTACGTTTTAGTTACAAATCATTTGTATGGGAAAAAGAAAAGGGCTATTTTTAGGGTTTTTCCAGCAATAATTCTAATTTTTCTCGCCGTAAAAACCATCCTTGAACTTCAACGAACATTTTAAAAAAAGATTTGGCCAAATTGATCGAGGCGTTGTTGAGTTATGCGCTTACCAACACATTTTGCGATTCATTTTTATATATATAGATTATAAAAAGTCGTAAATACTTTATTAGTTTAATTATAATGATTATTTATATGAAGAAATAATAAATTAAATTAATTTCTAGAGCAACATATGTTCAGATGAAGCTTTATAATATTATAGATTATTTTTGTTCTGTATTTTTATGTACGCGTTTTTTAGAGTACACAGTGACAAACGAACAGCTTTACGAAGAATGTGTCTGTTAGTGATCAACTAGTTGATGTCTGGGTTTTAATGATAAACATTTTTATTGTTGCAGAGGAGGTTGCGTCCACGCCAAAACCTATTAAGGTTCTGGACACAATTATGAATCCATCATACATCCCGGCAGAAGAGAAACATGGGTTTTATTGGAAGAAATCTGCCATTACCACCTTGAAATCCAAGCTGAAAGAGACAAAAAATGTAAATAAGGCGAAAAACGGAATCCTGTTTATCGGCGATGGAATGTCCGTGGCCACTGTGATGGCGGCGAGGACCTTCTCTGGGCAACTGGAGCGAGGGTTAGGAGAAGAATCAGTATTGGAGTTCGAGAAATTCCCATTCACGGGACTAGCAAGGGTAAGAATATAACAATCACAATTTTGACGACCTCTGTAACTGAGTATTCATCATAGGTGTCTAGCTATCTAGAGAATCATACCCGAGCCTTTGAAGTCAATATAGGAAAACTTTTCTGTAACGACTCAGGTTTATGTAGTTCATTGAATCGGATCTTCAAAATATCTTTCAGAAATCTAAGCAATATGCAATATTTTTTTAATTGATATTTATTTATCAGAACGTTTTTTCAAGGTATGAAAACATTATTAGATTTGCCATGACCGAAATGGTTCAAATTTCTGAACTTTCTAGGTAACCTTTTTGTATTATTTTCATTTCTATAGTAGGTACTTAAGCCAGTTTTTTTATTAAGTAATCAAAGTGTCACGAATCTATAGGTACCAGAAACAAAATAAACTAGGAAGGAAGTTGTCCGTTATTCAATTGTACAAGATTTGAGTAAAAACAGTATCTACTCAGCCACACGGCTTAGCTTATTATTTGTCAGGCGACATTGGTCTTTATTGTTTCGATAGTAAAACTGAGCTTTGATAGATTTCACTAAAATATTTTAATTTTGTTTTTGTCTTTTTCACATTTACCCAAAACACCGTTTATCTTGGATCAATGAACGCTTATAAACTTTAGTCACCAATGCCACAATTATATTTTAATGTGTTTTTATCATTAACATTCTGTATGTGTATTTTTTTGCATTTGCGATGCCTCTCTTTGTCCCAATCAAACAAATAGTGATGACTTCTTAAAACTGTCGAAGGTTTTCTTATTGAATATTGCCTGAGGTCATTTCAAGCGTTTTTCAAGGCTGACCGTAACGGATGTACAGGAAATACGTGTGTTCTTGCGATGTGCATCACCTTGAAAAGAAAACGATGTAGCCGAGTCACAGAGTAATAATTGAGGAAGAAATGTTTAGTTTTACGAGTGCAGAAAAGAAACACAGAGACTGCTGATACTGAATAGTTACACGCACGGCTGGTCACTATGTCATGATCATGATCAAGGAGATACGTGACTATTGTATTTAAACTTACACTGTAATAGTAGTGTAGATAAGAAAAAAATAGATCTGTTCTGTTATTACTAATAACAGTCAACAGTACATCAGGCTATCCAAAATTGACAGTTTCTTCCATTGATTTTTAATCTTAAATTGAATTACAATACTTTCACTTCTTTTCGCTTTTCTATGCCACCGAGCTATAACATATGCAGTGGCATGGTATTTTTGTTACTTTTATATTGCAATAAGAATTTTTGAAATCGGTCTTGTAGTTTTTGAGTGTCTTTATATAAGTAACCTAACTTCCCCTCTTTATTTTAAGTATTGCTTTGACGTCATAAGTTTGTGACTTGTGCTATTCGGTCGTCCACACCAGACACTACCATATCATCTAATTATCGTGACAATAACACAATGCTAGGAAGGAAAAACAGTATTATCTCAGCTACTTAATTGTTAGTCTTCTAATATCCATTGCCAAGGTTAGCTCGTTGGCACATTGTAAAGGAAATTGTGAAATGTTGCTTCTATTGTGACGACAATAGCTACTATTATTGTAAATGCGCTACCATTGGATTTGAGTGATGTTATATGTGACGAGGAAATGAGATGAATGGGAGAGATAGAGACAGAAGATAGCGTTTTACGAGGTATAAACATCAAAAGTAATAATAGTTTATAGTTATTTTATACAGAAACAATTTATTATTGTCGAATTTTTATATTGTTAGTTTGTTTTATTGTTTAATTTATATTATAGGACAGACTTTAGTACCACTTCCAATAAAGGACGCTACACCTGAGTATCCTAAATACTTTACTACCACGTTTAATCACGTTTCTTTTTTGTTTTTTTAATTCTATTTACCAGAGATTTAAACTAAAAGTGGCACTCTTGCTTTACATAACTTATTACTGTTTTTTTTATTATTAAATAGTTCTATGCAGTGATTAGCGCGCTCGGTCTGTGATATGGTAGTCCAGCAACTTTCGTAGTGGCCGGTCATAGGATGGATGACCAAAAATTTATTTACTCGAGCTCCAAGGTACTGTGGAAGGCACATTTTAGCCGTTGGTTCCAGTTGTATCTGCAGTCGTTAATACGAACCAATTTGCACTGCGACCGCGTGGTAGATCATGGCCCATTCTCCCTACCCTACGACTTGATTCAATGAGGAAGTATTGAAAAAAAAAACGAAAGCACTTAAAAAGCACCTCCACTAGATGGCGACTCTAGCAATAGTTGATTTTTGCAGGAAACGAATGGACCAAAGACAGTAATTTCCGTTCCTTTTAACTAACATATTAAAAAACGGAAATTTGAAAATTTCGAAATTTACACATCAGTACAAATACGAAAAAGTACAAATAGAATATTAGTTGTTTATTGAGTTTCGGAAACCAAATTACTTATTACCAATTACTTTTAAACATGAAAGAAAACCGGAAGGGTTGTCATGGAGAAATCAAGAACGTGCCGTAGCGACATCTAGTTTGATTTCGGGAACTAACTAATGTCGAGCCCCAGCAGTGGGAATATCATGCTTACCGAAGATGATGCTTACCGTTTGTAAATATACATTCATAACCATGATTCTTTCCAGACATACTGCATTGATGCCCAAGTGCCTGACTCAGCGTGTACGGCAACGTCGTATCTGACCGGTGTAAAAACAAAGTATGGAGTCATCGGTTTGGACGGGAACGTCACTAGAGGTTCCTGCCACTCACAGCTGCATAGAGGAAATTGGGCACCCTCCATCGGCCAATGGGCTTTGGAACAAGGATTAGATGTTGGTAAGTTAGTTAATGAGGAAGAATTAAAAAAAAAATAAAGCACTAAGAAAGCACCCCAGATGGCGACTCTAGCAAAAATTGATTTTTGCAGGAAACGAATGAACTGAACATAGTCATATTCGTTCCTTTTAACTAACTTATTAAAAAAACTGAAATTTGCAAGGTACGAAACTTAGATATCCATACAAATACGAAAAATTACAAATTTTTTGAAATTACAAATTATTGAGTTTTGAAAATTAATATACTTTTATACATGAAAGAAAACCGGAAGGGTTGTCATGGAGAAATTAAGAAAGAACCGTAGCGACATCTAGTTTGATTTCGGGAACTAATGTTTTTTTTAATACTTGCCCATTGTATAAGATTAGCACGTTTAGAAAATAATTGTGCTGTAATCTTTAGACGTCTATGTGACCAGATATGGATGTAGTATTTTAGTTTAGGATAGAATTTACTTTATCAAGAGTAAGTGTTATCATAACTGATACTATAGACAGTTTATGTGCCAATTAAGCGCAATATTAGCGTATAATTTTTATTAGCGAATTTGCATAGCGTGATATATTCTTCACGTATCCTTTACTGGTTACTGGCTTATTTCGTTTAGTATTTGAAATGGGAGTACCGTCTCGATGATCCTCTGCTGTAGATAGTAGAATATTTCATGCACCTACATGGATAGATAGCGCCCATGAAGAGTCAATAAATAATAACTGACCTTTTGTCAATTTTTGTTTTATTGAATTATTCGTTGTAAAATAGATTACTACACAATAGTGACAAAGATTTTGGGTTCGTTTCTTATGTTTTTGTAAGATAAAAAATAATTGCAATGTACTGAAAAAACAATATAATAGATTTGAAACGTTTTTTTCGTCTCCTTTCGTCTCCTTTTGTTTCGTTGCATTTTTGCAGTTATTATTTATTGACTCTTCATAGACGATAGGATTTAAATGAAATTCGACATATGTATGTTCTTTTTATAAAACACCAAAGTTGATTTTAAGATTATGTACTTAAAAAATGACATTATTTTGTTATAATTATATGTTTAACATGGGATCGGTTTGGTAATTAGGTAAATGTATATTAACGTTTTCACTATTGTTAATGGCTAATAAATAAGCTTCTACATTCAATTATTTGATCAACCAAAATAGGTATGTTTTTCTTGTAATTATCTTCTTATACCATCACCATCTCATACCATCACCAGAAACACATTATATACCATTTTATAGTTAAGCCATATATTTTATTTCATATCAACTTTGTCATAAATTTGTTATTGTTCATGATACATTAATAAAATATTTTTTATGACCTTTTTTTACCGTTCTGTATACACTCACGTGTAATAACCTCAATGTATTTTCTACGTCAGTTAATTGAATAGAATATAATTATTGATTTAATATGACGTCTTATTTAGTTTGTTTCCATTCTTGGATTGTTAATGGACTATTGTTGGGATATCGCTTGTTTTTTTATTACAGTTGTCATATCGGTTTCTTGATGAACTTTGTAATATATATATTTTTAATATGATTCAAATTGTTAAATAATACTACAATTTTAGAACTGGTTTGTGCTCGTGTAATTTAGATCTTCTTTAGAGAATTCTTGTAGAAGAGATTCTAATAAGATGGCAATGTCTTGGCTAGAGCCGTCTTTTAGAGTTTTAGGCTTATATAATCTTTTTTTTACAGGTTTGGTGACAACTACAAGGATAACACACGCTTCACCCGCGGGAATGTATGCACACACGTCAGAGCGTAACTGGGAGTGTGACGCCGATGTCCCTAAGGAGTGTCTTACGTTGGGTTGCCGGGACATCGCATACCAACTCGTGATGGATAATCCAGGTCGACAGTTCAAGGTGAGAAGCATAAAAAATAGAAGTACGTTAAGAAGGTGTCTTAATTGAAAATTAACAAATCACAACCTTTCAATAGGTTTTGGACAAAGTTATAAAGTTTATGAGAACCGGTAAGCATGAGTGAAAAGAGTAATGAAGATGAAGGAGGGGAAATATATATGTAACGACTGTGCCTCTTAGGGCTTGGCCATTTTTATGCAATGTACTCTTAAATCCTCTGTTCTATTTATCTCATTGACGGATTTGTTTATTTTGTCTCTTTTTTCAATGTCGTGCGACTGCTTCAAGCAATTCAGCTCGCTTGGCCTTTTTTAAGAGATATTCGATCAAATTTTTAATCCAAAATTAAATGAAATTATACTTAAATAAATAAAATATAGTTAAACAAGCTATTTTTAAATTATCTTGGGCCAAATATCTTGTTTTGGAAAATCAAATTAGTCCACATTAGACTGAGGTTGCGTTATTAATATAAATTTTATTGAAGCCTTTTACAAGACAAATTAGACGAGACGGGTCTCGATGATTACAGCTTTATTAAATTAGAGATACCGCATGGTCAAATGCTGGCTTATCATTAGATCAGTTTTATTCCACATTCATATTACATTATACTGCACAACCGGGAAGTACGACAAATTTAACTAATAGAGCAACTAAAATAAAAGCTTATAAACAATATGGAGACATGCAAAATCGGTCACACGCATTTATAAGAATGTAAATGCTCGTGTAGATACAATAATGTTTGTTACCTGTATGTAATAATCATAGGATTTCCGCAGGAAAGCTTGATAGCTTGAAGATGACCAATTAAATCGAAGATCCAAAACATCAGAACATGTTTTCTTTGACCGTACTTCAGGAGAACAAAACTTACATACTCAATGATTTTCCTTACGAAATAAGTGTAAAACTTATTCCTAGAATCGGTAGCTGTGATTAAGCGGAACGAATCTCTTAAAATTGCTTGCAAGTACGTTTACCTCAAACTTGAATGACCCCAACTATCAGTTCATGGTTAACGCTGACAATAAACTAATTATAATTAACTAGTTCTTTTTCCTCGACTTCGTATACGCATATGTTACCCACGTATGATGTAGCTTCTCAGAAGTAAAAGATTTTTTGAAATCGGTCTAATAATTATAGAGCTTATTCAAAAATAATCAAATGATTCCTCATCTTTATAAAATTAGTTTTTTCTTGCATATGGATCATGTAACACAGTATCCCTTTACGAGAGTAAATCAACGCCATCTGTTGAGTTACTGACAATAATCAATTAAAATTTACTTTTGTGCTGTGAATAAATTTTCGTGCTAATGGAAAAAAAATGAATTAGACTGCGTGTTTGTTGCAGCTGCAAAATATTGCCCAGTCGTTGCATAGTTTGGCTGGCTAGGATAAAATAAGATAACTAGTTCTAGAATGATCGTCTTCTTATAGCAATATACCGACATTTTGTGTTAACAACAATAAATGCAAATAACTATCTTATTAAATACGAATCGATGAGAAAATTTACCGTGACATAGCCTTTCCCGTTTCAATGTCATTGTAAGCAAGTAATTTGTCGAGTCATGCCTTAAAGAAGCCTCTACAGTTAAAATTGTACGTAGCGATGTTCAAAGGTAACTCTATTTTTATCTCCACATATATTTCATGTCCAGCGACATCTATCCTATTGTTCACCAAGAATTTTAAGACTGACGACGATTCACTTTGTATCGTTATTGCGAGATGGCGCTGAAGAATAATGTTTGGAGTCAGTATCACGCTTAGAGAGTTTTTAATGATTAATAATAATTTACGTCTTGTCATTGATCATAAATGTAAATACGTATGTATTAAAATGAAAAGGGAAATAACAGAAGTTACCTAGTAATTCTCTACCCATCTAACAAAGCTAGATTACTTTAGTATCACCGGATTTACTAGGGACTATTTTTATTCATAAAAATTACTATATTTTTATAGTAAAATTTATTTATTTAAAAACAGACAATACTTATTATTCCACCTTCAAGTTGATTTGACATTGTTATTAGCTAAGTTATATTAAAACAAACTAGGATAGTAATCCAAAAGTTTGTAATTTCCCAGTTAGAACTTTTTTAACTGGGAAATCTGTAAATAGCTTTTTCGAAATTTTCAAATGGTAAATAAAAAAAAATTTCAATATATGATCCATATTGTATCCATTCACGTCGCATCGAGCACTCAGGTAACATCTAATTTTCGTTCGAAAAATTTCCTTTTATAATCACACGATTTTTCATAGCCATTTGACTCCCACCAAAATCATGATATCTAGCAACATTCTCGCCTAGTACTAACAGTATTTTCCTGCAGGTAATATCTGCAAGATGTTAAGATGCTCCGTGAAGGGGCGAACCATGCATAGTGTGTTATTGTTGCAAGATTTTGTTGCTTTATAAATGTGAATTTGTGAGGGCCATGCACAGCAGGTACTGGGTAGAAGTTATAGCAATGGATGTTTGCAATATAACGCCTGATTCTATTAATAATACTTTACAAATAGACTGCCCAGTTAAATTGCTACGATAAAATTGTCGTCGTGTGGACGGGCACATAAGCCATGACGATGTGTGATTAGGTTAACTATTAATTGAAAAGAAACCGCTGCACTATCATTGGCTTGAGGCTATTTTAAAAATGCATTATTATCATCATCATCAGCCCTGTTACATCCCCACATTAGGGGCTCAGGATTTCCTTGTGGACAGTTAAGGATATTACGGACAGATAAGGACAGTTAAGGAGGATGGGCTATGACCCTCCGCGCGGGCCCAATGCGCATAGGAGGGTATTAACGACTGTAGACGCAGCCGAGACCAATGTTGGCAACACTGCCACATTGAAAATGGTAAAGTGGTGGTTTTTCCGTAGCCACCCTCTCTCCCTTACCAACCGCGCTTGAAGGTAGTTTACGCATTTGGAATTATCGTCAAAATAAATAGTTACTGTGCAACAATGGTGTTTTTCGATTCAACGAATCAGCTAATACAATTATAAGTCAATTGCTCACTCTTTCCAACACGGAGTAGCTCAAGATAATAATTTTTTGGTCACCCGTCACTTGACCGACCCTTGCGAAAGTTGCTTAACAACCACGATCGCGGGAATGCAACAAGGAATTAGCTTTTTAAAAAACTGCAACAAGCGATTACCTATTTCAAAAAAATGCAAGAAAACCTCTGGCATTATTCTTCTGGTGTATTTTTAAATGTATATAGTTTGATTTTTTTGCAGGTGATAATGGGAGGCGGAAGAAGGGAATTGCTTCCTAACGTATCAGATCCTCTAGTGAAGACTGTTGGCAGAAGATTAGACGGTCTGGACCTTACTGAGATGTGGCACGTAGACAAGGTCAACAAAAATGCTACACATCAATACATTACTGACAGGAATGAACTAATGAAGGTAATTTGTTATTGATTTGATAGCCTAATGCGAAATTATTCCGGAGAAATAACTCAAAACAAAAATATATAAACGACATCGTATTTGCCAAATAATTAAAATAAGGCTTACCTGAAAGCCATAAATACAAATGAGTCCACGTGCAACAAAAATCAGTCTTCAATGACCAAATTCGATAGGAATACTTTGAAATTGAAACAATAATGTGAATCTATTTTTATTTCAGGTATTCAACTCCGATGATCTTCCAGAGTACCTTTTAGGCTTATTCAAAGACGACCACATGGACTACCATTTGAAAGCCAAAGATCAACCGACGCTTGAGGAGATGGTGGAAGTGGCAATCAAAATGCTTAGCAGAAGTAAACGGGGATACTTTTTATTCGTTGAAGGTCAGTATCATTTAGGTTTTACTCGAACATATTTTAGGTAGTCTAAAGGATAGTCTCAACCGACTCTACCGCTGACATTTTTTAAGACAGCACTATTAATAAGAGATATATTTAATAGAGTGCAGAGGCAGCGAATTAGGCATCGTCGCCACAAAAACGTGTATTGCAATGAACTTTATCGTACCGGATTTAGTGACAATAAGCCCGAACACTGTAAATAACTGCTACCTCATTCTAGCTACTATGCCAATTATAACTCTTATACTAATCATCATCAGCCCTTTTACTTCCCCACTGCAAGGCCTTCCTTATGGATGGTTAAGGAGGATGGAACATAACCCTCCACGCCCAATGACGATTGGAGGGTATTAACGACTGCAAACGCAGCAGAAATCAACGGCTTAACGTGCTCTCCGTAGCATGGAATAGCTCGTGATATTTTTTTTCGTTAACCATCCCGGGACCGACCTTTGCGAAAGTTGCTTAGCAATCACAAGCGTGGGCCGCGGCGTTTATCCACTACACCATCGAGCTATACTACTCTAGTTTTAGCGTCTTACGGATACTTAGGTAGGGAGAGCCACGCTTCGGCATGAATGGGCCGGCTCGACCGGAGTGATACCACGGCCTCACAGAAAAGCGACGTGAAGCAACGCTTGCATTGTGTTTCATCCTGTGAGTGAGGGTACCGGAGGCCCAACCTCTTCCTATTTCCTTCCCTCTACCCCTCAACCCTCCGCTCCCTATGATCATATTCGTCCCTCAAAGGCCGGCAGCGCGCTTGTAGCCCCTCTGGTGTTGCAGGTGTCCATGGGCGACGGTAATCACTTACCATCAGGTGATCCGTCAACTCGTCTGCCCACTATCCCATAAAAAAAAGGCACGGAAACGCTGCTGGCGTCACTGCTATTACAATAAACAAGATATAAACAGGCGAATTTAAATCTAAGACCCATGTAATATATACAATTTTCTTTTTTATTCCAGGAGGTCGAATAGACCATGCACACCACGACAGCCTAGCACATCTAGCTTTAGATGAAACAGTAGAGTACTCCAAAGCTGTAAAGAAAGCCAAACTCCTGACCAATGCGGAGGACACTCTAATAGTCGTTAGTTCAGACCATGCGCACACTATGACGGTCGCAGGATACCCCTCGAGAGGAAACGATATACTTAGTACAGTTGACACAGCAACCGGTGATGATAGAATGCCTTACACGACTATAAGTTATGCAAACGGGAAGGCGGCCTCTATTGGAGCTGATGGGAAACGAATCGATGTCACGTTGAGTCAGCAGTTTTTGAATCGTAAGTTGTTCTTCTACTATATTTTTCTTTAGGGTTTTGGCAGTAACCCTTATTGTGATTTTAATAGTGAATTGGTAATAACCTGCAATAACTATAACCCCAACTCTTCTTGTATAAAGGTTATATAGGACTCTAATCCGTAAGTCCACGCGGTGGATATGTCCGTCCAAGTACGGCCTCGGAAGCCTTAAAAATGCTACGTTACTCTCAGTAATGATACTCGTATTAAGTGTCCATACAACTGACCTCTCTCTGATGCCAAATTGTTTACGCAGGAGACCTTGAATATTCATACCCAAGTCTGGTGCCACTGGATTCTGAAACTCACGGCGGAGAAGACGTGGCGGTCTTCGCTTCAGGACCATGGGAACACCTATTCACCTCTAGCTACGAACAAAACGTAGTACCTCACCTTATGGCCTACGCGATGTGCCTCACTGAAGACAAACATGAACAATGCAATTATACACCGAGAAAGCCCAAGTTTTGGACGTCGAGTGCATCGACTACAAGAGTCAGTTTAGTTCCTTACGCCTTAAGTATATTGACTGTGATAACCATGTGTTTATAGAAAGTATTATTTTTTATTAATGTGTACAAAAATATTACCAACGGTAATATCCGCCTGATGAAGCACAATTGAAATGTTTTCGTGTAATTACCTTAACGATGCTTTTAAAGATTTAGGTACTTTTAAATATTGTGACTAAGAAAATTAGATTAGTTATAAAGAGAATTTTATGTACGTATGTTATATACATTTTAAATATTTGTAGATTGAATGTACAATCAAGAAATTTCAATGCAGATTTGTTAAGTCTTTTAGTTAATCAGGAAGTATTTAAATTAAAACCCAAAGCACTAAAAAAGCACCTCCACTAGATAGCGAGTCTAGCAAAAGTTGATTTTTGCAGGAAACAAATGGAAAAACTGAAATTTGAAAAGATCGTAACTTAGATATCAATACAAATACGAAAAAGTACAGATAGAATATGAGTTGTTTATCGGGTCTTGAAAACTAATTTACTTTTAAATTGAAAGAAAATCGGAAAGGTTGTTATGGAGAAATCAACAACGTACCGTAGCGAAATCTAGTTTGATTTCGGGAACTAGTATTTTTTTTTTTATACTTCCTCATTTGGTTTGAAATTATTTTATACGATTCTAATATATCCATTTGGAGTTAATATAGAATTTTCATGTTATGAATTTGCCAAATTCACGGTAAAATTTAAAGTGAACAAAACCAATTTTTTTGTACAAATATTGGCAGTTAGGTATTATAAAACTTATTTGTTAAGTGCCTTAAAAAATTTCCTTAAGATACATATGAATATTGAATTTTCTATCTTTTGTTTATATTTGCTTTTGTACTTACTAATAATAGGGATGATGACTGGGTAAAAAAAATGCAATTCTATTTAGTCCGTCAGTCAGATAATAGAAAAATATTAGATACGTATTTTTTTTTTACTTCAATTTAACAAGAAATAGCTTAGATAACAGGCATTAAAGTTGAGGAGTGGGGGCTCGCTACGTCACAGTTGAGTAGAAAACGTACCCTAACGTGACGTCATGCGAAATTTCAACTCAATGTCACGCAGTAATTTTATGATTACGAAAAAAATAAAAAAATACGTGTTTAATATTTTTTAACACTCTACCTGACGGACAAACAAACAAAAATTAGTCATCATCCTTATTGTAATAATTTAAAAAAGGTAGGAAAATATTTTTCATACCATTTGTTTCATTACAACATTTAACATTTGCATATACAAGTAATGGACTTAAATTTCGATTTATAAATAATTTTTTTTGAAAATCAGTGCCACGGTCAAATAATATGATGCTGAGCAAAAAACTCAAGAAAATTTTTGGATTTTTGTGGTTAAAGGTTTTTTAAAAGTCTCCCCATAAAGAAAATAGATGTTTTAATACAATTATATCTGTTATATATTTCAACGATAAACATTTTTTCGTACCATAATTATATTAAACCCTTAAAAGGGTTCCAAAGTGCGTTTATTATTTAAGCGATTTATAAAGTCCTGGATCGCTTTTTTTGTAATTTATAAATTTAAATTTAGGTAAGTAAATTAAATTTTATGTTTCAAATAAGTACAATAAAGTATAAGAAATAGATAATGTCGAATATGATTTTCATAATAATATTTATTCAAGAAAGAAATATATATATAAATATTTGACATTTTTATGTTTGATTTAGTTTGTATAAAAAACTATATAGTAATACAACGATAAATAAAGCTATTGTATGAGCATAAATAAAACCATGTTCGATACGCAATCCATATACCCCCGATGAATTAATATAGGTTTTTTTACGTTTACACTCTCCTTTGATGGTGCAGATGGTGGTTTGATGTTACGATAATATTTTAGAATTAAAAATCCCAAAAAAAAATCTTAACACTCACTAGTGAACGCGTTAACGTAAAACTTAAATTTTGTATCTTTATATTTGTATCATTATGTTCTAGAACTAACTGTGGTTCCCGTGTAAGACTTTGTTCACATAGTAACCGGATAATAATGATCCAAAATAATATTCCTTACAAATGATAAAAGGTTGCTTTAGAAAGGTGCCAAAACTCCGGAGATCTAATATTTAAAAAATATATATTAAAATATACATGGGATATAATGTAAAGCGACATTTGAATATTATATAGAAATAAGGCAACTACTTTTTACAGAATTTTACAATAAAATGTAAAATTATTATTTGAAATTTAGCTTTTTAGTTTCATAATATCGTAGACTTGGTGCTGACGTAATATTAAACGATTCATGTGATAATTAATATTTATTGTTGAATAATTAATAAAATTAAATATTATACGTGGCTTTTATTTTAACGCTAACTGCCCTAGTTTTGTATGTGTGAAAAATTATATATGTTAATTTTTACACAAAATGTAAGAGGACATTTTCTTCAAAAATAAGTTTGTAACTGGTTTTCAATAAATTACTTTATGGTTTCTTATATTTTCACGTACACTAGTCATTAAATAAAACTATTTTAAATGGTTTTATCGACTACCAACAGAACCTGCAAAAAAACAGAAACATCTGCAAAATTTTTAAAACACGCGATATAACTTTTTAATAGTAGTTTTATATAATAAAATATCGTCATTATAAGCTGTGATGAAACATTATATTATCGATACCTTGAGCTATACTCAAAGGGCGTAACCACGATTTTCTCCAAAATTTTGAATGTAATCATATTCAGATTTTCGGCGCCATTGAACTGTAAATTTAGAATTCTCAAATACTGAAAACATTAGTGGATACGATCCTAAGTTTTAAAGCTGGCGATGCAGATTTTTTCGTAATTTTGGACATAAAAGCAATACATATTATTATTATTAGACATCATCAAAGTATAGGACGTAAACGAAATTGTAAAATAAAATTTTAAGGCGTACCCCATATCAAGTATTCCTCTAGAACCAGTTGACTTTGTAATGCGTATTCAATAGCAAACTTTTTAATTATAAATATGATAAAATTATATTATATAATGTTAATATTTATTTATTAATTTAATTTTATTGACCAATGAAAAATATTGAACAAAAGCGAATTTGATACTAATAGCATTCCCCAGTCAACATTTGGGAAAACTAAATACGCTATGGCGGCATAACAATAAAAGTGAGTAAGAGAATTAAAACTTTCATGTCCATAGTGATAATAACATCTTACAAAGCATATCATACAAGATTAATTTATTCACATTCAAATATAAATTAAATACATACAAACATACAAACAATTATGATTCTCAAAAGCTTTGCAAAAGAGAGGAGTGGCCTTATTTAAATCATTTGGTGATCTGCTGACGGCGTCAAGTAGGCTGTTCCACAAACGAATCGATGGAAGATTGAATAAATTTGACATAAAGCATTGTGTATATATATATATAGAGAGAGAGAATTTTGAAGACAATAATACAAGCATTTATAATATATATGTTGTCATTGGCATTAACATAATTAAAAGCGTTATATAATATTAAGAACTAAATGTATAACCATAATTTAAGGTACTTGACTAACATAGTAGAAATACTTTGGAATATTGGTATAATCGACAGCAAGCACAGAGGACTGTAGATAATTTAATAATATAACTTTTAGCACCGAGAAAGATTTATTGATGACCAACGTACAAAAAGAACAAGATACAAGAGAATACATTGACAAAGTCAAAAAGTAAAAAAAATATAAATTAAAAATAAGTATAAAAGCCTCCTTAAAGAGGCCAGTAATAATATATCAAAAACATGGTAAGGCTGTCGGCAACAATTGGAATATATATCATATATATATGGTACTTAAAAGATAACAGCCTGTTTGAATTAACGCCCACTCTAAATTGTTCACCTGAACTTTCCCAGTGAATTAATCCATGTATCGATGAAAGCCACATCAATATAGCGTCGGCTTTAGCTGTTTAGCTGCTCCAGGCAACAATATAGCTTCCGTTATAAATACATAAGTAACATTTAATAAAGAAAATAATTTATTCGGACTTAAATTTTTTTGTGTAATTTTGCTATTAATATTATAGCTATATTTTCACGCAGGAGCTTTTGTGATGCACATCTTGCGCCTCCACGACTTTCATTGCTCTTTTCAGATATGCTTGTCTAATTTTATGACTCCTGATATCACCTTCTGAAAGTATGCGATCGATTAGATGCCAAACATTATTCTCTCTCCATGCAAAAAATTGCGTCAAATATTCCGTCGCTCCCAAAGTTGTAGCTCCTCATTTTGGAGCTACGTTATTCGAAAGTATAAAAGTTTCACATTGAATCTCATGAGGTAGTGAATTCTAATTTACAAAGAGCAATATAATATTATAACGTGGCTGAGCCCTCCATCTTAGTGTCGGTTCCAAAGTACTTGCAATAGAGTATTTTGTAGTTTATGAGTATTTTGATTGCATGAACACGGATAGAATCAGTTGATAAATTACTCGAAACAATCTTTATTATTGCTATTATACTAGATTGGGAATCAAATACAGTAACAAAAAGGATCGGCATCAGCTTATTTATCCTTATTACTGACGCACTAAATTTTCGTATGGATATAGAACGTATACACCTCCATAAGGAATGGTAATGGGGGTTCAATTTTGTAAGTGTAGACTAAAGTGACGGATGATATCGGACAGGGAGCTATTTCCCGTGGTGGCTTGCCCACCAAAATCCCTATTGTGTCTCCTCTGCTAGGGTATGAAACCTGGGAAGCCGTGGTAGAGTCGCCAGAATACTCACCCCACATTGCTTTTTGACCTTCTTTCATTAGGAAAAAGAGACACACGTAACCTCTCTAATCCGCGCTTGAGAGACGGCATATGTGGAAGTAGTTTCCTTTTAATTTTCCGTAAAATAAAAGTCTGTAGATCTAGCAAAGGGCTATTTCGGACAGTAATATTCTGGTTCCTCTAAATTGGAGACAGCAACATCAAATTCCCAATTACAATGTTCCAGCTACTTGAAAGATAGTCAAAGGCAAAAATGTTTACTCTTAATTCAAAATGTAAAGTCAAAAGCTTGTCAGATTACTTACTGCAAAACATTCTTCAATTGAGTTAAGCTTTAATCTGTAGGATGTCAAAATTTGTGTTAGTTTATGAACAAAATACGGGACCAAGAGTCACTTAATTAAACCTTCTTGCTAATTCAATTTCAAAGGCGTCACAACTCTTTCTTCAAAACAATAATAACATTGTTAACATAAAGAAATACAAAGAGTACATATTTAAAATAGTTTATATGCAGTTACTAACTTAAAAAATCTTGATACCATTAGGTTTCCAAAATTAATAAATATTCTAGAATCCACGTTGAGAAATTACTGGTAAAAGTCTAGTACCTATTTATAATTTCACACTTTTTATATATATTTACTCTGTTCATCAGGACAACCCCTTTTTGATTGAAAATATATAATATCAGATCATAAAATAGTAGCTAAAGTATTCGTATTATGGAGTATCTGAAACAACAAAGCTACCACAACACACAACCAGAGACAATATATATACATAGGCTTTATTCTGCCTATGTGTGCAGGGCCGGCCCGTCCATGTAGGCAAACTAGAAAACCGCCTAGAGCGCTCATATTTAGAGGGTGGCATGGCATAGTAAATAGATTATGAAAAGTAGTGCCTTATAAAAAAAATTTTTCTTTCTTTGAACATGAGTTCATGTCGGCGGTATTAAAGCGTACAAAATTTTCAAATCACGGTCCCAAGGAGTTTCTTATGTCATTTGCAAAATTACACTCTTCAATCGGTGTACATTAACTTTTTGTTTGTTTTGCCTAGGCGCCTAGATTCAGCGTTGTGTGTATG